TCAACTCTATATTTTATTTCTATAAATGACATGAAAATTTATGAAAAACGTAATTCTCATCTATAAAATTATTATTAATAATAAATAATTCTTTTAGTTTATTAACACAAAAATAAAACCTGAATCGATGGGGACGTTTAATGGAAAATTATTATTTTACTAATAATGCTACAGTTAAATTATCTTAGCGTTTTACTTAAATGTAAATATATTATGTGAATGAAATTAATTCCACTAGTCAAGGTTTAAGGCCTCGTTATTTCAACCTTTTTATGCTTCCAGTTGATGTTTGTGTTAAGAGATCTATTGTTTCTATCAGGCTTGTTTCTATTAGATCTTTCTTACAGACTATATAAAGGTAAGTTTTAGGGGATTACAAATTACTGTCAAAGCATATAGTTCGTTTGTTTATTCTTAGAGTAACAAATGATAAAATATGTCAATACTTATTACATATCTGTTTTTTTTTTAGATAGGTGACTGATTCCATATAGTTTTTCCATATTTTTAAAAATAAGTGTAACCCCAATTCCTATTTTTTGACATCCCCCATATATGGTAAAAAATTTGAAATTTATTACTTCAAGTGGTAAGTAATCAACCTTTAAGAATATAATGAAAGAGAAAACTGGATTTTTTTATTGTCGACTTTCAGAAATATTAATTTCACCAGTACCCTGTAATTGAGCGAATTCAATTTCGCTTACTTTTGTCAATAGGGATTGTTGTTCCATTTTAAATATACAGTTCACTGGTTGTGAATCATTTATTATATGGCGCCTTGTATTAAAAAACTGTGAATAAAATTTAAAAAATCGTTATCATTTTTTGATATTCTTTTAACTGGAAAAACTAGAGTTAAAAACGAAAAATGCAATTTTTAATTTATTTGAAATATTTCAGAATACAGTTCTGGCTTTTTTAGTCCTGGTTGTGCCAGTTTAAATACGCCTAAATACGTTTCCCCCATTTATTTAACCGCACGTTTATCATTCCCTGTGAAATAGTATAGGTACCATCATTTTAAATTTAAATTGTATTACATAAATGTTTTTCGAGAAAAGGATTTTGGCTCAAAAGTTTATGTTGTTACTAAACAATTCTAGTATTGAATCATTGGGTAGTACAGAGCTATTGCAAATTATCCCAAACATTTTCTAAGTTATCAAATTTCATTGTAGTTTCACTGATGAAAAAACGATTTTTGTTTTTTTTTTTTTTTAGAAAAACCTATGTTCGTATCAAAGGGTGAAGCCAACGAGGATAGCCACGTTATCGCAACAGTTAAGCACGTCGTGGATGCGTGACGGTTGGGATTTCCAACATAGGCCGTGTCACCATAGGACTCAGCCGACTAGCGTTTAAACATCGACGTCGAGAAATGAATGACTGAGTGAATTGGTGAATGGGAAAGTAGTAGGACCTGCAAATGGTGGTACAATAAGTGGCAGGCTGTAGAGCCGACACGCTACAAAAGGGGTCCGAAGGGTGTAAAAATAATAATAAATCCAAGGTACCTTTTTTTAAGTGGGTCCAGTAGATCTTGAAATTATGTACATCAAAACAAATATTATCTATTTACAATATTTATATTTATTAGAATAGATAATAGGAAGGTCAAATAACTTGAATAAAAATATAAAAATGTGTTTACAAATACACTGTATTTGATTATTGTTTATTAACCACTTGTGTTATGTCAATAGTGCAAAATTAAGGAAATTTTGTACACTAATAACAACCAGTTTCTAATAACGATTCTTCAACAATAGCTGTATCCCACGTGATCTGGTAAAAATTTAATGAAAAAAAGCCCTTCTTAGTATCAATTCTGTCAAATAGGTCAGCAAGGTTTTAGGGTCACTACTGGAAATACTAATGTTGCTTTTAACCAACTGAGGACATTAATTAAGTTACAAGAGGGGTAGGGATATTGTTGAAGAACCTGTATTAACCCATCAACGGCTAGTGTTACGTTTATGGTTCTCTCCCAACTTTAGCAGTAAACACGATTCTAGGTTATGGTAATCAGTTGTCAGATAGTCGAACAATCGGCGACAGTAAGAGATTTTTTGATTTTACTTTTAATTTCTGTTTTATAAAGTGTTCAATGTGAATATATAGTATGAGTGACCATACAATGGACTTTCGGTTAGAGAAAGTACTCACACATTTTTATTTTTATGACAAAATTCGTGTAGTAGCAAATAACACTAAAAGAATGTTTGAACTTTATAACCGAATAATAAACTTGTAGTTAACTGGTACGGTTTTGCGATTTTGTTAATTTTTTTACACCGATACGTTATCGTAACGCTAGCCAGTGGCGTGGGCAAAATAATAAAAATTATGTTTATTCTAGGAGCGGTTTTACTCTTGAAGAGACGCTGAATATGTTTATGTTGAAGTGAGAATTCATAATGGAGATGAGAATTTCCAAAAAAAATCAAATATATTTTCGAATGATCATTTGTCGCCTGTTAAAATGTTTAAAAAATTTGTAGACGACCAAATTGTTAAATTTCTTGTCGACCAATCAAATAAATATGCATTATTTTTGAATGAAACATATCCAAAAATAACATACAAAACCTGATCAATCAGATAAACTATGGAAACTCAGAACTTTTATGGATATGGTGAAGCAAAAATCTCTGGAAAACTGGACCCCGGTGGAACACCTAGACTTTGATGAGTCAATGATAAAATATTTTGGACGCCATTCACGTAAACAGTTCATTCGCGGGAAACCCATTAGGTTCTGATACAAGATGTGGTGTTTGAATACGCCATCAGGCTATTTACTTAACTTTGACTTATATCAAGGAAGAAATCTCAAAGGGCAGGGCACTTTCGAAAACGAATTTGGAATAAATATTGCGCCAATGATAGGTATGATTCACGAGCTTCCGGAAGCTATGAGAAAATTGCCATTTAAATTTTATTTCGACAATTTGTTTAATGGTTTCAATGTTTTCTATTATTTGAAACAGAATGGATATGATGGTACGGGAACAATTCGAGAAAACCGTATACGTAGGTCTTCTCCACTGGCGAAAAATAAAGATTTTCCGAAGCAAAGCAATAGAGGCGATTAGTTCTATCATTGATAAAGACTATGGTGTTATTGTTGTAAAAAGGGTGGATAATAATGTCGTCGCTGCGGCTTCCATGTGTCATGGTACAAATCCAACTACAAGCATAAAACAATTTTCTTGAGTTGAAAATAATAAAAATAATACTCTCCCTATCACCCCCTTACGAGTGAATTTCAAACCCTGAAGTTGACTGAATGACTTGTGTAGGAGAAGGGATGGCTATTATTATTTGCCGTGGCGCTCTGGGGCGACTTAAAGATGATTGATGGTGCCATTTGACTTACAAGTGAGGAAAACCCGGAAAACCACACCCATCATCATCGAGATGGTAACGCATGGCGATTTTATAATCTGCATGTCATATCAACAGAAATTGAATTTCTATTAATACAACACACATCAAATCCTATAATGAACCATGCAATTTAATTAAAAAGATCTATATCAGTCGTACATCACTTATAATGAAATACAATCGTTGTGTGGGTGGTACTGATTTATTGGATGAGAATACTGCCAGATATAGAATAATTATTAGGCGTAAAAAGTGGTGGCGGGCAATTCTCACTTGGTTATAGGATGTTTAAGTGGTGAATGCATGAAACATTCATAGACAGCACGAAAATATTCCACAGTTGGTATTTAGAAGGCAGATACTGCAAACATATCTTACTGAATATGCAGTTCCACCTAAGGGAACAGGAAAGCCTGCAACATCAAGGTACCGTGTAAGTCTGAACAGGGTATCAGATGATTTGAGGCATGACGGTCGCAACCACTTGATTGTGTTGAATGAAGGAGGGAAGAGAATATGCGCCGTTGAGGGCTGTAGCTCCAGTGTAATAACAAAATGCCGAAAGTGTGATGTAGGCTTATTTATAGAATGTTACGAAATTTTCCACAATAATTTTGTCACATTACGCTAGCTTTACGTTAAAGTAACGATGTTTTTTTTGTCAAAATATACAAGTTTTTTCAAAAGTATCTTTTTGTTTTTGTTAAATATTTACTTATAGTTGCCTAATTAATACATTTTCGTAATAAAATTCAAGAAAGCAAATTTCGCCATTAAAGGGTCAATAATGATCATCTAGCTTAAATTTGTGTGTATAAAAAACGTAACTAAGTATTGATAATGATATATTGCAGCACCTAGCAGCAAGTTAAAAGCAGTTTTCTAGATATGACAGTTCCCCACCCTTAATGAATCACCCTTTAACCACGTTTTTACTGTTGAAGAAAGCTTCAACATATTTGAATTAAAACTTATGGCTTAGAACGCCCATGGCATTTGAACACTAGCTTGCAGATAGTTAGTTGACACTACCAGCGCGAACGGTCACCTTGCGAGAGCGTGGCATCATCCAACAGAATCAATTTCTCATCGCATCAATAAAGACCATCAACAATGACTTAAAAAAAACCGGCGTGCCTTATCCATGTTGAAAATTATTATTTTTATCAGTACCTAGAGGCTGTGATTAATTTTATTAGTTAATTTTATTAGAATAAGGGCCGATCTTTTCAACTTTGAGTAAAATTACATGTAGGTTTACTTGACAGATTAATGAACGCTAGTCCTACAGTTTAATCAGCAAGTAGTTACTTTCAACTTTACTCAAAGGTGAAAAGATTGGCCTTTAGCATCAAAAATGTAATAAGTGCAGTGATGTTAAAATTTTGACACAGTATTCAAGATTAAAAACAGTTTTTTTATAAGTGATGCTGGTAATTTTATTCTGTACACATCTCAAGAAAACCAGTGCAGTTTCTTACGTTCAACAGTCGAAGAAATTTTTAAAAATCTAGGAGAATATTACACAATTCTTCTACATTTACTAAAATAAGTTTGCTAATATTTGCGGGTTTTATTAAAAGAAAATATTTACGTTAAAAACTTACCTATAAGCCTCTGCTAGGAGGGGATTCTGCTTTATAGCTAAAGTACTAAACTGGGCGGATTTGTCCAACCTTCTACATTGAAAATGTATACTGGATAATAACAGTAAAACTCCTGTATTTGTTTGATCCTGTCTCCACAACTGCATACAATGTCTTTCCGCATTTTCGTAATCCCCTGCTTGGTATTCACGATGAGCAAGCTCTAGTAATCCTGGAATATTAATGGATTTACGTAATTTTAACTCAAGAGAGGTAACAAACGTGAATGTTATAAGAATAAATCGGATTATATTTTATGTATTTTTGCTATAATGTAATTGAATATTAATTTTTGAATCAGTCATATCAGGGTATTAAAGGAACCAAATTTCGTGCAAAATTGTTTTATTTAAAAAATGCTTTCAGCATAACGCCACCTTCAGTGCTTATAGTCTTCCACAAGGACATCCAAAAAGTTATGTATCCGAACATTAATGGTTGAAGTGTTCCACCTTGCTAATTAAATTACTTTTGATTTAACATTTTCTGAATTAAGAGTTATTTAAGCAATTAAAAAAAATTGCTTATATAAATAACTCTTAATTCAAATATTAAATAAAAAGAATTTAAAGAAAACAACAAATGACTATTTAGCAAGGTGGGACACTCCAACAATTAATGTTCGGATATAGGATGACCTTTAAACTTTTTGGATGTACTTGTGGCAGACTATAAGTACTATAGATGGCGTTATGGCAAAAGCGCTTTGCATTTTTTAAATAAAACACTTTTACGAAATACAAGTTCTTTTTGATAATATCAAGGTATGTTAAACAATATAAATTAGGCATAAGAGTAAAGTAACTCAATCTATATTAAAAAAAAATGATTTTGAATTAATAACTACTTTCAAATAAGCAGTCGTATTCATATATCCCAAAAAAATAAAAAGTATCTAGGATCAATGTTTGAATACTATTTCAAAGTTTTAATATGAAATATTATTGTATTTCCTAATTAGTAATTATTGCAAGGTAGAAACAAAAGTTGAAATTTAGGCATACCTATTAACATTAGTAAGATTGCATTTTTTTTTTAAATGATCATCATTGGATTATTTATATTTGGAACGCTCAAAATTATGTAAATGAAGCCGAGTTATATTAGAAGAGTATTAATGATAAATTTAAATATGCTTTTAATAGTGTAATGGTTGTTTAATTAGAAAGATCCCTGGACAATAAGGAGTCCGCCTTGAGTGTTTTCATAAACATAGAAGGTGCTTTTGATAAAACCACCTTCCCAAAGATTCGTTCGCGAAATGCTTTCCCTATGCATCAGCGGCATACCTAGAAGATTCCGGTTTCGACCATGAGTCGGGTAGCAGACTTCAAGGTCGCGCTCTACACAGAGTCGGCTCAGGCATTCTCATGACAATAGTTTGTCAATTTATGCAATAGAAGACAGCAATATTTAAATTTTTTTAACAGTTTTTTACGACGGGAAGTCAGTGAGAAAACAAGGGTTCACATTGAAGGAAATTGTAGGCATTGGGTGGAAATTGTATGCAATGAGAGAAAATTGGAGGCAATGAGAAGATATTGGAGGCAATGAGAAGATATTGGAAGCAATGAAAGTAAATAGTGAGAGGAAATTATTGCTGAAATTCGCTGTAGTTTTGTAGGTTGTTTATATGCCAGCAAACACAATTCAGGAAACAAAAAAAAAAACGCGTCGTTTGACAATTTTTACTTTCAATATTAAGATCAGGGTTTGCAGGTAAAAGTTTTTTTTTAAGATAAATATCAAGAAATCACAATTTTACTAATCTACTCTTACGAGAAAGGATGTAAAAATTAGTGTATATGAAACAAATTTAATACAAATATTTTATCAAAAGTTACCACTTCTTTATATTGATATTAATGGTAGTGACAATTTAAAAAAAAAAAAAACAATTAATTTATTTTTCAAATTTTTTTATTTTAATTTTAATTATTAATAACTTTTGACGGGTCGACCGACTAGTGGTTTTTTCCGCAATGTGATAAGATAAGCAGGTAGATAAGAAAGAAATACATCTAATTGAACAGGGTCGGCTCAGACGTACTAGGTTTTTGATACACCAAAACGTGAACTGGACACCGAAACTGTTGAGGAAATAAAAATAACGCGATATAGCAGAAAATAAATATAAAAGAGGAAATAATGGAACGCATTTTGGAAGAAATAAAAAGCAAATTAGATAGGGCGGGAGAAAGGAACAAGAATAAAAGGAAAGCTAGATTATCTTCAATAAGAATTAATAGAAATTAAAAATAATATAGTTTAAAAAAACTAAAAAACACGCTTTTGGAGCATATCAAACTAAAAAGTTAAAAATATTTTTTCAAATAAGCTTAAAACAATAATAAATGGAAAATACTAGTTTTAATGTGAAAAAAGCGTCGGGCGCTCGATGTACGCGAAATATGGACAAAGCGCCCCTACAGGTTGTATAAAAAATGAACCATATCACATTGAACTTGAACCAAATACTCAACCAATAATGCAGCCTACCAGAAAAGTAGCTTTACCCCTTCAGAAGGACCTAAAAAATGCACAAAATGATCTTGAAAAAATGAAAATTATTGAAAAAGTTCAGGGTTCCTCTGATTGGATAAATGCAGTTGTCTTGGTCAGAAAACCAAAAGGAAAACTTCGCATATGTCTAGATCCAAAAGATCTGAATAAAGTCATAAAAAGAGAATACTGGGAAATTCCCACAATTGAAGATTTCACCAGCAAACTCTCAGGTGCAAACATCTTCAGTACCTTAGATGCAAATAACGGGTTTCACCAAATCATGCTAGATGCACAAAGCACAAAACTTTGTACTTTCAATAATCCATATGGCATGTATAAATTCTTAAGATTACCCTATGGTATCAAATCTGCACCGGAAGTGTTTCAAAAAAAGTTCAAAAAATTATTTGAAGGTGAAGGGACTGATGTGTATATTGATGATGTGTTAATCTGGGGCAAAAATAAAAACGGAACATGATTGTAGACTGAGAAGGGTGCTGGAAATTGCAAAAAAATGGGGTAAAATTCAATATGAATAAATGCAAGTTTAGATTAAGTTCAATTGAATATATGGGTCACACATTTAATAAAGATGGCGTGGCTCCAAGCAAATCTAAAATTCAGGCAATATTAGACATGCCTACACCTCAAAACAAAAATTAGATACAAAGGCTGTTAGGTATGTTGACATATATCAGTAAATTCATCCCAAATTTCTCTACACAAACAACTCATTTAAGAGAATTGCTCAAAAAATAAAACGAGTTTGTGTGGCAAAAAAACAGGAGTTGGCATTTCAACAATTAAAAAATAAATTAATTTCAGAGCCAGTCCTGCAGTTTTTTGATGTCTCTAAGGAAGTTACTTGGTCAGTGGATGCATCAAAATCAGGACTAGGAACTGTACTACTCCAAAACAGATTGCCATGTGCATATGCCTCAAAAGCAATGACTGAAACTCAACAGAGATATGCACAAATTGAAAAAGAATTGTTAGCAATATGTTTTGATTTAGACAGATTTTACTAATTTATTTATGGGAAAAAAGTAACAGTAGAGACTGATCATCTTCCTCTAATACCAATTTTTAAGAAACCTTTAAATAAATGCCCTGCAAGACTGCAGAGAATGCTCATGCAAATCCAAAAGTTTGAAATTAATCTGGTATATCGACCTGGAAAAGAGCTTCTCTTGGCAGATGCCCTTTCCAGAGCAATTTTGAGAAAAATAAATACATGACAGGCTTAGAGGATGATATTAAGTCTCATATTTGTATGGTCCAATATGAAATCAATGATGATTTACAGTTACAAGAACTTAAAAAAAAAATATTTTAGAGGGCTGGCCGAATAATAAGCAAAAAGTACCAAATAATTTAAAAGTGTACAGTCAATACAAAAGTGAATTAAACATAATTAATGACATAATTTATAAAGATAATTGCATAGTAGTACCAGCTAGTTTAAGGTCTGAAATGTTAAATTACATTCATTTTAACCATTTGGGTTTAAACAAATGCACACAATTAGCACAAGGCTCATTGTAGAAAGTTTATAAAATAGGGCCTATAGAGTACTGCTGGAAAATGGGTCCATACTAGTTCGAAACCGCAATTTTATAAAACCTTATTCTAAAAATAATAATAACACAAATTCCAAAACTAGTATGTGAGTGATTCTCGTGTAACTGAGATTTTTACAACTTATATTTTTCTAAAATTAAAAATGTTTTAACACGTATGTTTTACGCGTTTTTGTTTTCTATTAATGTACACAAATTAGCCTGTAAAGTGGTTTTACTACAGCTACGACACAACGAAAAGTGTGACAAAATTTAAAAATTTTAATGCCACGGTACTGACATTATTTCCCCTGTACTGACATATAAAAGATTATTTTTTTTTACCAATCAAAAGATTGGTACAAAATTGCAATAAAATTCAATGCAGTATGCGTTAGATTGAATCGGACATGCCACGGTACTGACATTTCGAGTATATTTTATATGCAGCTTAAAAAAAATTACAAAGGTTTATGATCTAATTCATAATGTCTGTTGTAAAATACCTCTAAATTTATAATATTAATAACTTTTTGATGAGGAAAACTTATGCTAAACGATAAATAAAACATTGGACATAAAAAATCACAGTTATGCGAGAATCACCCATCTACTCTTCACCCACGCAGAAAGCAGAAAATAATAATTCTGAAATACGGTACTATATAGAAATAGAGGGCGAGACAAACCAAAATAATATAGAAAACAACACTTCAGATAAAAAAAAGAAGAAGGTAGTGAAACTGTTGGTGTTAGTGAAAGTGAGGATAAAGACATCACCACAACTGAAGATATTAATGAAAGTCTTGGTGAAAGTGAGGATAGTGAAGAGGGAAGTGTTAGTGGAAACATACATAGTAAGGAAAGTCAAGACACTAAACCATATGTCAAAATGTCACCTTTAGATTGTAGTGAACCTGAAGAAACACTCTGAGAATAGCTTGCTGAATCAAACATCTTCAGGTACAGTTCAGTAAGCCACCTCAGAGGCTGTATCTTTAATCACAATTATTATTAAACGTAAACTTAGAAAAGGGGATGTAGATAGGCAACACACATGTGCAATGTTTGTGTAATGTATGTTGCATATCATGGAGTTGGTACGCATGTGTAACGAATGAGGTTGGCGTCCTGCAGCCAGCCAAGGATTGAATAAATGTACGTTAGTCAAGTAACATGGTTTTATTATAAATACTTATAAATAATAAATACATACTGTACACTTAACAAGAGAAATCATATTTTTATTTAGAACTCCTAAAAAAACATTTTATAAAAATCCACGAATCAATCAATAACTTGAAACTAACAACAATTAGGCATTCCAAACGACCTGTCAAAATGCTGCCCATGGGTAGTGACAGGTTATGCTATGGCAACCCTGTGTGCCTGTTGTCATTGAGAGGGTCAATGATGCATGTATAGTTACATAGATTGCTCAAAGCAAATCGTTTGAGTGGCATTCATATTCATTAGCAAAAATGCATTTTATAACCAATTTTCTACCTTTGAATATAGTAAAAAAATAATTACCTACAATTTTACTTCAAGGCATAAGCTTATGTTAATTTTCAAAAACATGGATGACTTGACCCTGTCAATCACCAGGCATGCAGGGTTGCCATATTACCTATAACCTGTTATTACCTACATGCAACCATTTTATTTGGAAAGCCTAATAAAAAGAGCAAAATTATATGTCAAAAATATAGGCTTTGAAGTTCCCCATTTTACAATAAACAAAATGAAAAATAGAAGAAAACCAGTTAAAAAAGAGTAATTACCTAATATTTTATAAATAATATTAGCTTTTGCTATACAATAAAAAATATTTTATTTAGATGATTTTCTCTAAAACTAATTATAATTTTGGCAAAGGTTAGTTATTTTTTAGGATATTTTTTTTTATTATAAAACAAATTGTAAACCTTGCTTTGGAACAGATAAAATATTTATCATAGAAGAACAAAAACATGACTAAGATTGAAGGTTAAGCAATAAAAGCTGCCATTGATTTATAAAATCCAAATGAAGACATTGGTTGAATTGGATGGAGTTATAGAACAAAGAACCAAGGGCCAAATTTCAAAATTCGCAGTCTATTAGGAGAATACACCCTAATATACGCCTAATGTAGGAATGCATCTTTTTAGAAGGCCAAACTACGCCTAGCGCGATCTAGGTATATTGGAACCAAGTTCTGTACCGGCACTAGTAATGGGTTGTTTTCGAACAAGTACCAACGCGTAAGAGCACGATTTTATGAAAATTGTAATTTACCACGAAATTAATACGTCTAGTAAACCTAGTGTTAGGAAGTTGTGATAATGATAATTCCACTCAGGTATGTACAAAATTACAAAGAATACATAAACAAAACCTCATTCTAACCTAAAATTTTATTCTGTGGTTTCTTGCACTGTAATTAAAAAAGAAAAATAACATTTTGGTTGCTTATCTTATGACTCCTGGTTCTCTTTTAAAAAACTGAATATGTGTAAAATCAAGATCAGTCAACTTTGAATTTTTGTTCCAAAACTAAAAAATTTATTTGAACTACTTTGGCTAAATACATGTGTTTTTCCTTAACTTTTTATGATGATGTTTGTAATATCCAATTCTTTTTTTAGTAACTATTAACTATGCAGACTAACGGTATTTTTGCATTTACTTGGAAAATGTTTTGTTTTTTTTTTTAATAATAAACTGTTAAACTTTATTTTCAGAGAAGAAAACGTTAATTCAATTCAAGATAAAAAAGATGAAAATCAGAAAGTAATGATTATATTAGTAATATAATCATTACTCCCAGTGTCCAGAACTTACCACCGACAACTTCATCAACAGTTGAAGAAGGCGTAGTAGATGATGACTTGATTGATCCTGTAAGATTGGTTAGGATTAATCGATATTAAAAAAACATTCCCAACGTCATAATTTTTGTTTTAAAAAATAATCGATTTAAATAATATCTGACAGAAATTTTCCAAAAATATATACAAAAAAAACATAAGTCCCTTTATTTTCAGAGTGCTGAGGTAGAAAACGCTAATTTAATGCAAGATAAAAAAAGATGATAATATAATCATTACTCCCAGGGTCCATAACTTACCACCGTTAACTTCAGCAACTACTGATGAAGAAATCGTAGTAGATGATGACCTGATTGATCCGGATTATGAAAATTCTGACGACTCAACGACAGATGATCCAGAAACGGGTGTTATAAGGGAAGATTCGCCAGAACTTCAGGGACATAATATGGAAAAAAATACAGGTCGTCCAAAGAAAGAACGGAAAAGAAAGCATCCACACCAGACAGAGAAAATTAGAAAACTTCTTAAAGATACAAACAAACCGTTTATATCAAAGCGCGGCAAACAGAATTTTAAGTTAATCTTTGAAAAATTCTGGATTTTCGGTACATACGATTTACAAACAGCATTATTTCTAATTTTATTAGTTCGACAAAAAAAGATCAAACGTAGATGGGTACAAGAAGTGCTGGAGCAAAGTCATATGTTCACACGTACTCATATAAGTTTAATGATTGCAATTGCAGGCAAATGTTTACAAAAACATCACAAATATCCACCAAGAGGGTTAATACTTCCCTTAAAAAGTCTAGATCATTTATTCTACAGGATTTGCGTGGCAAACACGAGCATCACAATAACATTTCTAATAAAAGGAAAAATCAAGTAGTGCAGCATATTAATTCAATTCCAGGGTACAAATCTCATTACAGAAAATCTCAATCAGATAGAGAATATTTGGTATCCAATATGACCCTAGATCGCATGTACAAATTGTACAAGAATGAGGTTGAAATACCTCTTAGTTTTTCTTTCTATAAAAAAATATTCTACACTCATTTTAATATAACACGTAAACCATTAAAAAAAAACACATGTTATAAGTGCAACGCATATTCTGCAGGTGTTGCTGGGTTGTTAGAACAAAAAGTATTACAAGATGATCATCAGCTGCATTTGAAGGAAGCAGAAGATGAAAAGTGATTTTCAGAGAGCTAAAGCAGAACACAATGTAGAAATATTAACGTTTGACCTTGAAAAGACATTGCCTATTCCAAGACTACCCACAAATATCATATTCTATAACAGTAACTTTGGCTCTACAATTTAGGGATTCATGCCACTAAAAAAAATAAACAAGCCTATTGTTTTGTATGGCCCGAAGGTATGGCCGGTAGAGAAGCACAAGAGGTTGGATCGTGCTTAAAGATCTTTATAAATAATTTTCTGCAAAAGGATGTCGAACAACTCATTCTATGGTCTGACTCCTGCGGCGGGCAAAACCGTAATATAAAGCTGACCCTTCTATTGAAATATATCTTGAAAGAATATCCAACCTTGCAAAACATACACATGAGATTTTTAGTTTCGGGTCATAGCTTTTTGTCAAATGATTCCGATTTTAGCCATATTGAAAAAGTACTTCAACAGCAACAAATACTCTATACACCCCAAGACTACATAAACATTATGCAAACCTGCAAAAAGACAAAACCGTTTATAGTCTATATTGAAGCGAAAAGATTTTAGAAATATTGCAGGTTTGGAAAAACAAATAGTTAACTGAAAAAAAGATGTGGTAGGAGAAAAAATTGGTTAAAAGTAAAAGAAATAAAGCTAGAAAAAGGACGCCCGTTTAGCATTTTTTTTCAAATTCATGCATAGTGAAGAAGCGCTTACACAGAAGTGGATATAAAATCCAAACAAAAAGAAAAAATAAGACATCCAGCAACTAGTGACAGTGAGCTAGATTTACTATGGCCCCGAGGAAAACTTATTTCTGTTCCTAAGCGTGAAGATCTAAAGACTTTATTTCATTTAATTCCCCAAGCAATCACCATTTTTACAATCGGTTATTTAGTGATGAAACCGTTAATGACATCGATGAGTATAACGGCAAAGTAGACTTTGAATTTGAAAATAATATCTAAGCAGCTTGTTTTGTTCTTATTTTGAATAATTTTATTGTTGTTGTGGTTCCTATTGTTTAAATTTTCAGTTTTCGTACAAGGAAACACACTATTTTTTTTAGTAGTTTTAAGCCATATGAGTTTTTGTAAAAAGACCCAAGCACCCGGTTTGGAAATAAAAATTTTGTAACTCATTCTGGCATATTAGTGGTTTTTATAGCAAACCAAGTGCTTTGGTTCGTTGTGTAAAAATTTAATATAATTTATTTGTGTTCCAAAAAAAGGAACCAGACGCCAAAAAACTATAATTTTTGATAAAATTGAACTAAAAATCTCTAAAATAATGTATTTTTTTTACTTTAAAAGTTCACTGTATTTTTTTATAGTTATTTTAAAAGTACTTTAAAAACGCCAAAATTCGAATTTTTACATATGGTTCATGGTTCTTTGTTCCATATCTCCATCTTAATAGCAAAGAAATAAAGTACATTTTAGAAAGTTATAAAAATAAATCTTTAGTTCCTATGATTTTAATATGTTTCTATTGCCATTTTATTAGTGCATGACAATGGCATAAGAAATAAGTAAATAACCAATCAGGTTGAGTCTGAAATAGTTACTTATATCAGTTTCTTGAAAAAAAAAACACCTTGTGATTTTATATGGACTGTTGAAGTTAATAAAATCCGGAAAATACTAACCTGCATGAGTGTCAAAAGCTTTTAAAACAAATAGTTAAATTTTTTTCTGTTAAATTAGTTTAATCAGTAAATTACAAAGGTAAAAACGGTATAGGTAGGTAAGTAGCTGAAGATAGAACAAAAATAAGAGATTAGGAACTCTCAAATGAATAACTAATGCTACAAAATTATGAAGTTTATAAATGGAAATTTGTGTTTGTAAGTCAAAATCACTCTTTTATAACACTTCTTAGGTATTAATAATGAAATATATATACCTATTAATACATTGAAAGCTGAAATGTTATTGATGAAATTTTTTGGCATTATAAAAATATACAAATTATGATTAATATAAGCATGAATTTGTACCTCTCCAGAGCTTAAGCAATAATTATAATCAATCTTATTGCATAATATTAACTTTTAACTTACCAACAGAGGACACCGGGAGAGAATCGTTCATCTTGAGTATCACCTGGCTTCCAAGTGCTAGTCCCTTATTTGATGAATTTATTTGATTTTGGGTATTTACTACGACCTGTTGGCCCTGCATTTCATAAAGATTAGTTATAGTTCAACCGTATTTCACTTCTGAAAAATTAAATGACATTTACAAGCGTTTATTCTATACTTTTTAACACTAAATACACGAGTTGTAGTTAAACTAGTGAAAAAATATTGATCAATTTTACTCTAAAATGTACTGCATTAAAAAGAGACAGAAAACATTCCATCTTTCTTCTCGTCACCGTACAATATAGTGGAATTTTCCACAGCTTGAATGCTTTTTTATTGTCATATAAGCGATACTAGCGTTATTTTCTCAAAGCACATTACAAATATTGAATGAAAACATACTTGTAATCAATAAAGAACTTCAGATATCTTCATTTTCTATTTTAATCACATCACTTTAATCTTCGTCTAATCGGCTCTCACATTCACAATTACACTGTTGCCAGCTGTGCTGCCAACTGTTACCAAGTCTGCCAAGGAGACGCTGCAAAGTCTAACGAATATGTTTATAAATAATCTTTAGGAGAAAGTGGGGTAAGTATATAAATTTTTCGTATATATGCACAATACTTGAATTCGCGGGCAATGTCCGAAAAAAATGCGCAAAACTAATTTTGCGCAATGAATAATTCCCGATAATTCCCGATTTTGTCTGCTTTTGTTCGATTAACAAAAAAATTTTAAATATTTAATTTAGGCCACCTGAAAATACAATTTTAATGTTACGACCGGACAAGCACTTACATTTTTCTTTTTTTTTCTTTTTCAGTGAACCAAACCGTCATTGTCGAGAAATTTTCTCGGTATATTTTCGGTTTGACCCGCTTTCGACTTTTCAAAATATGGTCACTTTATACTTTTATAATATAGCTAGCTGTTGCCCGCGGCTTCGCATGCGTGGAGTAGTGTTTATAATATAAAGTTCCCAAAAAAGACGGATAATATGTTTTTTAGGTTCACGATATATATGTGATAGTATTATAGATTAGAGTTAAGTATTAGATTAGATTTAATTAGGACTATGGGCCATGTGGCCTCCCCCACCTCGACCTTTTCAGATCTATTGTGGATATCCTTTAATCATTGTTTAGAGTACCTTGTCTAATGCGGTCTTTTGTAGTAGACTCCATAGACTGGGAAGTAGTTCTCCGGTATAGCTTGTTGCCCTTGGTTTTTCTTCTCCAAGTGTAAGGAATCTCAGTCTTACTAGACCTTCGCAGTAGCACAATACGTGTTCTACCGTTTCCTCTTCTTCTTGACAGAATCGGCACAAGGCCTCTTCTGTCAGTCCGATATTGAACATATGTATGTTTGTTAAGCCTACAATGCCCTGTTAATAGACCTACTAGTATTCTAGTATTTTTCCTATTAAGGCTTAGTAGATGCTCGGTGAGTTTAGACGATGGTCCTTTTAAGAACTTTTTGGCCTGTCTCTGTCCTGGTGAGTTTTCCCACCACTCCTGAGATTTTTTAAACATCCACTGCTTTGTGCATGTTCTGATAGTTATTTTTGTTACACCACAGAAGGGTTCTGGGCCAATAAGAGCATTTGTAGCTCCTTCTCGGGCTAGTAAATCAGCCTCTTCATTACCTTTGTGTCCCCTGTGGCCTGGTACCCAGGCTAAGGTTAGTCTGTTTTGACTACCCAGCTCTGTTATGGCTTCCAAACAGTCCCACACAAGCTTTGAGTGTACCTGCATGGAACTGAGTGCTTTTAACGTCGCTTGACTATCTGAGTATATGACAATGGTTTTTCCATTTACCTTCTGTCTTAATACTTCTTTTGCGCAGTGATGTATTGCTGCTATTTCTGCCTGGAATACTGTCGCATGTTTACCTAAGCTCAGTGAGATTCCTGTCTTTGGCTTGGTACTATATATACCTACTCCTGAACCTTTATGAATTTTGGAGCCGTCTGTATACCAGGTGAGATCTGCATGAATAGGAGGTCCTCCCGTCCACGCTTCCCTGTCTGATATACTTACTTTATATTGCTTTTGAAAGCTATACTTTGGAAGCATTTCGTCTGAAGGCATTCCCATTATTTGGTCGTTCTCCAACTCTTTATATAGCTCGCTGTAGTCACGTCCATGCAAACTGCTTATGGGTTATGAACCTTTGTGCAGTCTGTATGTGACAGACCTGGCTTCGCCTTGAATGAATTTATGTAGTGGTGTTAGGTTTAGCATGACTTCTATAGCTGCTGTTGGAGTCGTTCTCATAGCTCCCGTGGTACTCAGGCATGCTTGCCTTTGAATACCATTGAGCTGTCGAATGGCTCCAGCTTGCCGAGTCTTTGGCCACCATACCACCGACCCGTAGGTTATCATCGGCCTTATGACTCTGGTATATAACCACAGGGACATTATTGGTTGTAATCCCCAATTTTTTCCACACAACCTTCGACATAAGTTGAAGGACGTTGTGCTCTTTTGGGTGACTTTTTGCAAGTGTTGATTCCATGTTAACCTGTGGTCAAAGATGACTCCCAAGTATTTGGCCTCTTGAGCGAATGGAATCTTCACTCCTTTCAGTACTGGTGACTTTAGTCCTGTTGGTACTTTTCGTTTTGTAAAGTTGACTATTGTGGTTTTGTGAGGGTTTACTGTTAGTTCCTCCTCTCTGCACCACTCGTCGACAATGTTTAGAGCGGTTTGTGTGCGCTCCGATATTGTACCTGCGAACTTGCCTCTTACGACGATCGCCAGGTCATCGGCATACCCTAGGCAGTAAAAATTTGCAGATATTAGCCTTTTTATAAGTTCATCCACTAGGACTGACCAGAGAAGGGGTGATAGTACTCCTCCCTGGGGGCAGCCCCTGCCTGCGTTAGCTGTCAATGTAGCTTCGCATAGAGATGATGTTATTACCCTTTCTTCTAGGCTGGCTTTTATCCACTGACATAGGACTACTGGCACCCCTTTTATTGCTAATGCGTTAATTACAGATCTTGTTTGAGCATTACTAAAAGCTCCCTCAATATCTACGAAAGTTGCTACTGCCATTTCTTTATCCTCCAGGGATTTTGACAATAGCCTGTTAAGATCATTCAGGGCCAAATCGGTTGACTTTCCTGGCTGATATGCATATTGACGGTCGCTGAGAGGATTTTCTCTCAGTATTTCGTCTCGTATATATCTATTAGTCTTTCTAGGATTTTCAGCATGAATGACGATAGACTGATTGGGCGGTACGACTTTGGCGTCATGTCATTAAACCTTCCTACTTTAGGGAGGTATATGACTTTCACCTTTTGCCACGCCTTTGGTATGTGTCGCCAGGCTATACATGCTTTAAATATGCAACACATATGTGGAATTAGAATTTCCTGTCCCTTTTGTAGTAGAATGGGATATATTCCATCTACTCCTGGGGATTTGTATGATTGAAATTTGTTTGTAGCCCATCTAATTTTGTTCGGCCTCGATATTTCTGTAGCTAGCCTCCATAGAGTTAAGTATAGTAATCTAATTGAGAATCTCTTTTTATGCCACATTTCTGGTACAGTTCTCATCTGCTAATATCACCATATTCTTTGCGAAACTGACTCTCTAGCAGGTCACATAAAACCATCCTTAATCATACCTTACAAATCGGTCATCATTAGTCTGTTGTAGTTTAATCAAAGAGATAAAATATCTGTTATCTTTTTAACACAGAACATTTTATTTACATCCGGTGCGGTGATCATTTCTCGTCCAAAAGTATCTAACTTTTTTTTTTGTCGTAGAATCAATCGTTTAAGCTACGGATAGTCATAAAAGTTTAAAACCAATTTTTCAAATATCATACCCCTGAAATACATTTTTTAACATGAGTGGAACACAGAATATCAGAAAAATATTTTGTGTAAAATTATTAATATTTTTAGTTCGAACAGGAAATTTCTTGTTTTTATACCTCGTGCCTCTCGTAAACACACATTTAAAAGTAATTGTAATTATACTTATAAATGTAATTGTAATTGAAAAAGTAATTGTACTTAGGAGAAGTAATTGTATTCAGACAATTTAATTAATATAATTTCAAAGTACAATTCCTCCAGAGATTTTGCTGCAATTACAATTCCAAATTACTTTATGAAAAAAGTACTTAAATACAATTACAAGAATGGTGGATAGTTGGCAATCATTGGCAAAACGAAGAAAAGAAGAAAGATGAAAGAAGAAAGATGAAACTAGGAATATGTCAATCGGTCAAGTATCAATTTATAGTCAAACATAAATAAACTATTAATAGGTTATCAAAATAAATTATTAAAACAAAATGTGCCTAGTTTTGGGAACCAGGTAAATAAAGCCTTAAAACTTAAAAAAGATAATAAATTGGACCAATATATTCTTATTGTTTTTTACCTAAATAAACCAGTATTGCATTCGTGCAGACGAAAAAATTTTCTTACCCTCCTATTTTAAAACTTTTTTTCATGTTTCCGATCATTCTGTGTCCAAAAATGCAAAAAAAAAAATTTCGTCTGGTCGTCTGTGTGTATGTATGCCGGCACAATAACTCTAGAACGAAAGTTCTGATCGACTTACGGTTTTGATTTTCTTGATTAATTACTTCTAACTTAGAACCCTATTGATTTTCAGAATTTTCGGTTCATCCTAACTACTTTAATATCAATTTTCTTAAAATCCGCCTATGCATTTCTTATATGACAATTTTAGGAATTCCAAATATTTCTAACGTCAACATTCCTAACATTCTTTACATTCCATAAATTGCAAACATTCTATAACGACCTGTTAAACAACAGCTGTTGATAGTAAAGGTGAAATTTCTAAGGCGGGTTGCGATCTTCATACTTGCAACCATAGCCATTTTGGAGGCTATTTTCATTCGAAATTAATCGCCAAGCCTGCCAATTTATGAAAAATATATAAGCAGTTTCTTAAAAATTACTTTTTTATGGTGGTGCTAACTTAAGCGTACTACTATTTCGCCCCTAGCCACAAAAACATGTTCATCAAATTTACTGGCTCTCTCTCGCAACCCCATAGAATAATTAACCGGCCATTTTATTACGATTTCCACCTGGATATAGAATGGTTTACAGTGGCCAAAGAAATGGATGTTATTTGATTCCGGCTAACTCAATTGAACCACTAAATATTTGACAATTATTGGAGAGTAGGGGTGGGTTGAATTGAATCTGATAATTATGTTAAATCGGACTTTTAATAGTCAAATTCTACAATTGAAATGTTGCACGACCGAGTGGTACCCCTTGGCGTTTACAGGTAAGTTATATACATATAAGTTTATCTTGCGAACAAAAGATCTATTATTATCTTTGTCTACTAAACAGTGACTACTCTTTAATTTCTTTTTAGTGAAAACATCCAACCAGGGGGTCGATTCTCGAGTTGTAGGAATTTGATTCCGAGGAAAATGAATTCCTATGATAATATTCCTACAGTTTTAGTTGTCGGTATTCTCGAGTACAATAGGAATCCAATTTCCTGTAGGAGTTCCAATTTCAGCATGTCGTTGATAATTTCAAGATAACGCAGAAAAACGAGCCAATGGAATGTATTTATTTTAGTTAAATATAGTTGCTTAACAGTTGGCAACAAGGCAATTTGTCAAAAATATTTGATTTTCTCGATGTACTGGTTATTTATTTTTAATATTTTTTATTAGCAGCAAAAAGAGAAAACGAAAAAGTTTCAGAAGGACTACCATTGTGATTACCGTTATTCAGGGCCGACTTGAGGGGGGGGGGTAGATGGGACTAATTCCCGGAGCTCGGACTCAAATGGGGGCCCGGCAGCGGTATAAGGGGGGCCCGGCAACTGGAATTTTTGTTTTGTTTTGTATGAGAAAAGAAATTCGACACAAGACGAGAAGGGGAAGTTTTAGGTTCGAAAGCTTTTTTTTTTAGAAAATTGAATCCAAGTAGAGGAGGAAAAGTTTTTGTTTGAAGAGCTGTTTTTTTTGTCACGTGGCCCGATCTAGAGAATTGTCCTGGGACCCGGCTTGGCTCTCGGCGGCCCTGCCGTTATTTATATTTATAAGTAGAAACTAAAGAAAGTAACTAGTACAAATGTTTTTTCTACACCAAAAGGTTAATGCTTGTATGCTCTAATTTCTAATTTGAAATACAAAAATATAGGAATACTTTCAATATTTACCAAATTATAGTAAAATTCACATCATACATCATTATAACTTGGTTTGGGCTCCGTCGAGGAATCCTGATGTGCGAATTTCGCAAAAAAAAGACTCAAAAGTAACTAGTTTCTTTGGTAAATTTTCATAAATAATTTATGGATTTTGGTTTACTTTATTTATTGGCTTAAAGACATTTCAAATAGGATAATTTTACTCGTCAAATTAAAATTAACTTTTAATAATATATGTAGTATGTTTCTTTTTTAAATGAGTTTGGAATCGCCTAAAAAGTAAGCATAAATCAATAACCACATTAAACAAGCTACTATTGCGCAAGCGCGATTACAAAATCTTGTAGGAAAATTAAATTCCCTGTCTCATGAGCATGGGAAATCATTTCCTATAACTGCTTAGGAAAATATTCCTACAACTTGACTCCAGAATACGTAACCTACTTTCCTATAGCAAAATCAACCAAATTCCTATAGGAAAAAAGTCGAGAATCGACCCCCAGGGGCTCGATTCTCGAGTTCATTGGAAAATTTTCCCATGGGAAAAGATTCCACTACTTATATTCACATGGTAATAGGTTATGCAATTCTCGAACTTGTCGGAATAGACATTCCCATGGAAATAATAGTTTCACGTATGTCTGATATTAAGTTCACAAATATTTCGAAATAACCAATAACATTAAAGATATTTTAAAATTTACTGTTGGTATTATTTGTATTTGTTGTGGTTTTTGGGTAACCGATTACCTGCCGAGCCTCTGCGCTGGAGCAGATGCCGTGCCGAGCAATCGCTAGCTTGACCGAGGACAAGTGAAAATATTCGATTATGTATAAAACTTTTCGAGTTATTTTTAGTTTTTCTTTTCACATATTGAAAAAAGAAAAAGTAGCTTTTGTATAGAAGAACAACGAAAGTTTCGAGAAACTAAGAAATTCTTTCGTTAACGGAAATAATAAAATTTTCGAAAAGGTCTTATTAAATTTACTACAAATTTCTCAATTTGTGTTACCTATTTGCCAGTCCCTTAGCAACTCCCACAATTTCTAACTAATTTAAGAAAATCAGTTTCTTAGTGAAAAAGAGGTAAAAATAATATACCCACATAAATAAAATAATATCAATTTATAAATACACAAAAAAAATGTTTTAACTACAATTTCACCAAAAATCCAAGATATCCAATAATCTTTGGTTATGTCTTAGTCTTTCGCGTGGTCTTTCGTCAAATTTTCGACTTTAATGCGCAAACTCTAGTACAATTCCCATTGGAAAACACAATTTCCAATGCTCGTAAGCAGGGGAATATTTTCCCATACTTCTCATTGGAAAATATTCCACCGCTTATGCCGAGAATACGAAAACTGAATTCCCATGGGAAAATTTTATTTTCCCATGGGAATAAAAGTCGAGAATTGACCCCCAGGAGGGTAACCAAACTATTCTAATGACTTGCAATCCTATTCTTATAATGGAACGAACTTACTTGTTGATCGTGATGGGGTGGTTGACGATACCTTCACCTTCTGTGTGAGCCCTAGGACTGATTGTGATGGCAAAGCAGGTGGCATAAATATATAACTAAATGTCTATAGCAGTGGTTGTGTCGTCTCTGCCCTATGGGTGGTAAGCAAGCACCTAGCACATGCGTAAAGCGGAAGAAGGTAATGCGAAGTATGAAATGTATATCTACCATACAGGATGTGTACTTAGTATAAGTATACTGATATTTAATGAAATAAACAAGATAAGAAGAAAAAGGCCTACAAAAAAGGAAATGACATGAGTTATATAAAGCAAAGTTTATCCGGGGATGATTCTACTTACCTCAAGTTGTCGTGTGGCCTTAAGGAGGTTTTCGATCCTAATATAAAAATCCACAATGTAGGTAATTCAACCTCTGTTGAAAATGATCTAAGGATCTAATAGTTTTCTCTTTATTTTCAGCTAGAAAATCCGAAATTCGAATATTTAATCCAAGAGCCATGTGCTCCAAAAGAAAGCTAAGATAAAAGAGGTTAAGTTCAAAGTTCAAACTGGTCATGTCCAAAAAGCCATTCACAGGACACTTTAGTTTGAAAAGGAAGGTATATAGGTTGGCAATCATTGGCAAAAGAAGAAAAGAAGAGAATATTTTATGAAACTAGAAATATGTCAATAGGTCAAATATCAATTTATAGTCTAACATAAACAAACTAATTTTAGGTTATCAAAATAAATTATTAAAACAAAATGTGTCTAGTGTTTTATAATTGTTTTGGAACCAGGTAAGTAAAGTGTTAAAACGTATAGATAATAAATAGGATCAACATAGTCTTATTATTATTTAGCTAAATAAACCTCTAGATCTGATTTTAAAAGGTAAACAAACCAACAGATTTTGTTTCGAGTTAAATTGTTTGATATTTCTTTCTGAATTAAATCATAATGACTAGCTTTAGAACATTATAATTATTAAATGACCTCTAATATTTCATTGATTTTATGCTTTCTTTATATAAAATACTTTGTCAATTTTAAAACCGTAACAATTTTATTTGGCAAAAATCAGAATAATGCTTGGCTGTGCCTCTCAAATATCAAGATGCCAACAGTGATGTGTGAATGGTTCTTAAATGTCAAATTATTATTTTGGTCTTTCGTTCCAAGATAAATTATTTCTCGTTTTTGTTACGCTACGAGTTTACCCTTGTGGGCCTTAGTCTCGATAAGGTGGGAACCACCATTTTAGCGTCTCTCGATTGTTTGATATTATTTTCTGCATTAAATCATAAGCAGTTGATTTAGAACATTATAATTATGAAATTACATTTAATCTTTCATTGATTTTATGTTTTCTTCATATAAAATACTTTGGCAATTTTAAAACCGTAACAACTTTTAGAACTTACCTATTGTCACAAACGGCCAAACACTGAAATATATTTGAATGCAATCAAGTGTACCACTTCAAGCTCTAATTTGAAATTGCGCTAACGTAGGGACGCTTTCAGTGTTTATTTCCGCCTGTGTGGTAAAGAACGTAGAACTTTGTCGATTTAATATTTTATCGTAATTTTTTTAGAAATAATACATCACTATGTAAAGTTGCCTTGCTGGTGTAAACAACCGCTCTACAGTAATTTTATTAGTTGCTCCACTCACTCCTTCCTTTAAGATTATTTGTGTGGCATATGCAATAGATTCTGTAGATGTCACCGCTGTACATCCGTTTCTGCTGAAACTGCGCTTTTTTAACCACGCTGTTTGAAATCGAAATTTCTGGCGACGCGTAAGAAGAAAAAAAGAGATCCCACGGTAGGTCCTACCTATATTTTTTTCATTCGAATAAGATCAAGGATAAAGATAACGATCTGTGTTACAGTTAGGTAACCTTGGCTATGAAATTTAAGTTATCTTTTGGAAAATTTTGTTTTTAGTGTCAATTACATAAAATATGTAGGTAAACAAAAAAAAAATCAAATCACAAATTCTTGTTAGAAACATTAGGTATCTAATATCTTTGGTTAGCAATGGCGCATCCAGAATTTAGGTCTGGGGGTGTAGTGGTAATATAGTTTTAAGTCTGGGGCAGGGGTAGTCGTAATAGGAATTTATACTTATTTTTGGTAATAACACATTTTATTACCTGTAAAAAGTTAGGTTTAGGGGTACTTACCACCATTACACGCCCCACTCCGTATTTGCGCACCTGTTGGTTAGTTAGAAAGTATTAAAAAATAGAGCGACAAAGCGGCAACACTGAGCGAAATCAGCAGAACTGTGGACTGTGACAATAATTTATCGCTCTGCTTCGATAATTACGAGTTATGATTGACATAGATCTATGGTTGACATTTTAATAATAAACTTAATTCATAATAAATTATAATTAGTTATCATGAAGGAAAAGTTTGATGCAGCAACCTTGATTGCTGAAGTTCGTCGTCGGCCAATTTTATGGCAAAGCAACAACAAATGTTTCAAAAATAAAACAGTCACCGATATTCTTTGGGAAGAAGTAGGAAAAGAATGCAGTTGTCCAGGTAATTTACCACAGGTCAAAAATTTACCTTTATTAGTTACGGATTTGATTGAAGGTATTTACCGTATTTCGGTATTTCAAATTTAACACTATAGGTAGGTACCTACCTAATCGTCTTGTAAATTATTGCTTATTGAATTTTCTTCTCGCTCTGATGCTCTTTGATATTTATACGTTCAGGTCAAAGGTACCTACTTAGGTATTTTGGGGTTTGAGGTTCCTTTGAATCAAATTTTTTATGGCAGTCATTCTTGCTGAATATAGATTCTACATAATGTAAGTGCCATTATACATGGAAGCATGACAGATAGAAGAGGCCGCTCAGCCCAAATTAAAGCCACTTCAAATTGTAATCTTCCTTAGGACGTAAGTATTTAGAAGGGCCCCCAGACAACACACATAGTCCAATGGACGTCCAATTTAAATATATTTGAGGGCCAGAACGTCCATATCCGTATTCGGACATTCAGTTTACGTCCGTTTATAATCATTAATTTGACAGCTGCATATCGATGTCCAGAGGACGTCTGTTCTTGGACTTAATTTTAAGTTTAGTATTATTTTGACGTCCGGTGGACGTCCATCTTAGGTCATTATTTATCTAGCCTACCACCCAGACAGCACACCAAATCCTTTGGATATCTACTGAACATCCCAATATCCACTGAATGTCCAGTCCATGGTGGATATCTATTTTATATCCATGAGATGTAATTTATAGACATGCAAATGTCCATAAATAATAGTAATTATATAGCAAATTATTAAAAAATTATGCCATTGTGCTCGCCATTGTGGCTAATAGTACCGTTCAGATATTTAAAATTATTTTTTTTAAGGTGTATTCAATATCCCATGGACATCCACTAAATATATCAAAGTCTAGGCGCGAACGCAAACCATGATGGATATCCACTAGATGTAATTTTTGATTTTGCTTACTAAGTATAGATGGCGATACCACTTTCGCATCTACTCATGCTCAACCCGCCGTAATTGAGTTCGATCGAAATTTGTTTCCCAATCAGACTCCATTAGAGACTGGAGTCGAGAATTTCCATTTATTGCTGAAGAGTCCTAATAAGGATGACTTTCTCCTTAGTGGGCAAAATCAAAGGCAGAGTGTTGAAAATATTTTTTATCTCTGCTATTCTTTCGACGTTATTCAATAATCATTGGTTACTTATGAACCTCTACTCATGAAATATTTTGTTGAATATCCGAATATCTTCTATATCCTGGGATATAGACGGACATTTTGATATCCACATTAGATCCACTGGATATATTGGATATCCACAAAATATATTCTGTGGATATCTCTGGGATTTCTTGTATTGTCTGGAGATACCCATTAGATATTTTGCTGGATAATCCATAGGATATATCTTCTATATTCTGGATATAGACGGACATTTGGATATCCATATTAGATCCACGGGATAATTCTGATATCCTGTGGATATATTGGATATCCACAAAAGATATTCTGTGGATATCTCTGGGATTTGGTGTGTTGTCTGGGCAGATAATACCCATCTATAGATATTTTTATATTTTTAATATTGTTGGTCATTAAAAATTGACAAATTAAATCTGTTACATTTCATTCTATCAGCGGAAGTTTGAAATCTTATTCTATTATAACCGTATCTAGTAAGACTTTTTCAAGTGGCTCCTTGGTCGGTGTCGCTTAGCGCTTGAATGCCCAGAAAGACAATGGACGTGTCGTGAGTCCGATACCTCTGCTCTGGTCAAGTGATTTTTAATAAAAAAAATAATAATAATAAATGGATAGCGGATTGCGAAAATCATAAATTATTAATATTACAAAATAGTGTGTGGTGAGTTGCGGTTGTGTAAAAAAAGTAGGGACGTGGTCTCAATGGAATATATAATCCCAGAATGGACCTTTTTTGAATGTCCAGTATTGAACTTCCAAATATAATCCAGAATTGGACGTCCTATGAACGGTCTAAAGTGTGCCATTTGTATCCTCACTGGATGTCCATTAGACGTCGGAAGTCCAGAAAAAACTGATCTTTGGACTTCCAGACATCCAAAATTGTATATCGAATGGACGTCCAATGGACCTATTTGTGCTGACTAGCAGGGCCGCCGAGAGCCAGGCCGGGCCCCAGGTCAATTCTCTAGATCGGGCCCCGTGACAAAAAAAAGCTCTTCAAACAAAAACTTTTCCTCTTCTAGTTGAATTCTCAAGTCTTCCTCTGCTTCAATTGCTTTTTCTAAAAAAAAGACCTCTCGTCTTGTGTCGAATTTCTCATACAAAACAAAAAAATTTAGTTGTCGGACCGCCTTTATACCGCTGCCGGGCCCCGGGAATTAGTCCCGGCTACCCGCCCCCCCCCCTCTAGTCGGCCCTGCTGACTCGGAAAAGTTTTTATGATGATTACGTCATTGTCGTCTTTGCGTTAAAAGGGGATACAAAGTTTAGGTCGCAGTGTATAGCACAAGTAGGTATATAGAGGGTGTAAACGTCAAACCACGTCGGACGGTTTCGAAAATTTTGCAATAATGTTTACCTGCCAGTGTCGTTTCATGGAATAAGTAATTTTAAATTGTTACCGGCGGAACCGGAAAATCACATGTATTTATGGACTATCCTAAATATAAATAAATAATATAAATAATTATTAAACATGTATTATAATATTCAAATCATAATTTTACAAAATTTCAACAGCTATTCACAATTTATTAAACTACTGACTCGATATTCCCAGTTAACAATTATACATTCTTAGTATATTCTTTTTAAGAATACGCATATGCTGAGAATATACTGTATTTGCATTTGGTACATTCTCAGAACATGCTAAGCATATGCTACGTGACGTTGTTTATAAATGTGCTATGCAGATACTGAGAATGTACTTCAAGTATGTGTACAGTATGCAACAGGTATCTACTTTAATTTGATAGTACGTTCTAAGTATATGCTAAGTATTTAAATATAGCATATTCTAGGCATATACTAGACACCTTAATACAGGATGTTTAATTAATAGTGAACATTAAAGAATAAGTGTATATAATGAGTCTTTATTTCAAAGAATTCATACTTATTTTTATTACAAATACTATCTTTGGCCTTAACCAATCAATATTTTATTGTATCAATGGCTTGAGTTTTATTTGCTTGATTCCATTGGATCTTCATTGAACCTAAAAAATTAAAAAAATTAACAAACTTGGTACATATACAAATTAAGTGTACATAGCTATTGAAATATTTTAAATATTTTTGTCGAACATAAAACAAGAGTTACATAAATGATTATGATATTTACTGAAAGTTTAAATATATTTTTGTTAATTACTTACAACCATTTTGTAGTTTTCGTCCTCCTTTAGCTAACTTTTCTAGTTCTTCCAGGTCAATATCTGGCCTTACAGAATTTTTTTCATAGAAAGTGTGTATGCAATTCTGGTAACACTATATTTTAGTTTCAATCCACCATTAGTATTAACTATATTAATAAATTCACACTGGCAATTAATATTTGGGATATCCTGTATTCTAACGTCACTTATAGGTCCTAAAAACTATAAATATAGTAAAATTTGTTTATTTTCATATAGAACATACGATGCAATTAATTTTTATTAATTGACCTACCTCTTACAAAAAAACGAGATCAAAAAATTTGTAGGAATTATAGGTTATGTTATTCTTCTTATTCTCTTCTATTTTAGTTTGAGAATGTTTTTTGGCCTAAACATTCAACATTAGTGCGTTTGGTAGTGAATTATTAGATCGGCATCTGGGAAAAATTCATATAGATATGTATATAAACTTGTTTTTACATGTATTTGGTGTTAATTTTTACCTGCAAGCATTTAGAACATTCTCAGAATATGAGGTACATGCTGGGTATATGACTTTTAGTATCTTCTAAGAATGTTCTGTTATAGCACGTGCTCAGTATATACTTTTTGGAATATACTTTTAAGGCACGTACTCAGTATATACTTTCTAGAATATACTTTCAAAGTATATTCTAGGTATGTTCTAAGAACATTCTAAAAGGATATACTAAAAAGAACTTAAACAGAACGTTCTTGGTATATTCATAGAACATTGATGTTATGTGGGTTGTTATTAACATCTATAAAATAATTTTGTACGTCAATGTATCGCGTCCACTTAGATCCGCCGAAAACCTGTCAATTTATGTGTATAAAGTGGGAGAACTGGCAAAAGCCTTTCCAACTTTTACTTGTGCTATATTTATAACATCCAATTTTCCAGTGCTCGTCTGACTTAGTCTCCGATAACAGGTCAATCTAATAGCTTATTGTGTTTTACCTCATAGCACCTACCCATTCTTCATCATTGTTTCTCGTATCTCGTATGCAAGTTTTTGTCCAGGACTTTGACAGAGTGCATTCTATAGGCTATTGGATCAACCTGCGGTTGTCCTAAAAGTAGCTGACCTCATATTTGGCTGTTATTGGTTCCTTCTGACATAGTCGACAAAATAGGTCTCCGTTGCACACATCTATTTTGTTCTGGACAGGGATTGGATTCTTATGTGCGTACTCAACACGTAACGAATACGAATAGAATAGACATTACATACGAATCGCATTCTGTTAACTGTTAACTTAAAAAGTTAACTAAAACACACCTATTATATATTAAATGGTAATGAATGATACTTCTGTTATTAGGATTTTATAAATAGTGATTTATAAGAAAAAATATTTCTCATTTCATTTATTTAAAATTTATACAATCATTTCTTATATTTAATCCATTTTGCTTTTCTAAGGTTACTTTTGAAGATAAGTTGAAAATTTTTAAGCGGTTTTACGAAAAACTGTCAAAGAAAAGGTAATACAAACGAATGTAATATATACAGTGAGGAAGAAAATTGTACCCTTCTCTATTTTAACTTCTAAATCAAAAAAGATAATCATAAAACAAAAACGAGGTAAAACTCAAGAGATTATGGGGTCTATTCTGTAACAATTCCTTTATATTTAACGGCCTTTAAAAATATTGGCGACCTATAAAAATATGTTCGTATTCGTTAATTTACTTCTATCATTATTTAAACAGATTTCTTTAAGATAGTCCTCTAAAGTATTTTAAAGATCCGTTTAAATAGTGACCGAATTAAAGAAGAAAATATTTTTAAAGGCCGTTAAATATAAAGGAATTTTTACAGAATAGACCCCATTATAGTTTTGTTATAACCAGATGCACTTTACTTGAGACACGTAAGATAGAGGAAGTTACTATCTTTAAATTTTTTAATGGAAAGTAGGGTCATGTGATACCTTATTTGAAAAATATTTACTATATTTTTACGTTCATGTAAACAAAATTATTTTCTATGTTTTTACAAAAATTACATTAAATAAATTCATAAAGTAGGTTAAATTCTTTTTTTTATTTACCGCTTCAACCTCAAAGGATCATTACCGGAGGTATGATACCTTATAAATGCTGTTTTCTACAATAGTATACAATGGATAATTAACATTTTGGCTAGTACAGAGAAAATGTCAGTATTTTTTATAAATTTAGGTAATTTTTTACTGTTAGAGGAATTTAACACCTTTATCAAAGATGATTTAAAAACCACTTGACGTATTAAATTTTTCATAACTTCTTGGCAAAAAAAGGTTATTAAAAAATTATCTTCTAACAATATCTAACATTTCTAGGATTATTGCGGCACACGAGGATTATCAAGAATGTAATTTTTGTAAAAACAAAAAAAATTAAAACTGTGTGCTTGGACGTAAATATAATAATATCTTTCAAATGAGGTATTACATGACTTTACTTTCCATTAGAAAATTTAAAGATAGTAACTCTCTCTATTTTACGTCTCAAGTAAAGTGCATCACATTATAAAAAAAATATCATGTTTCTCTAATTTCACATCGTTTTTGTTTTATGTCTCTATCTTCTTGCATTTTGAAAACATACTACAAAATGCTTTCATTTGACATCGCTGGATTGTATTAGAAAAATTCTAACTTCCAATTTAACCTCTTCCCCCCCTCCCCAACTGACTTACAAGACAAATTATTTTCGTTTTTAGTTAACGCCTAATCTGGGCCACTTATTACTTCAAATTTCAATTGTAAAACGACTGTGACAGACGGACTGACAGAGAGATATAAGTGGTTCTTATTGTCAAATTTGGGTACTAATGCGCAAATTACTTGAAAAATTCTTTGTTTTTGTCTTACAAATTTTACCGTTTTTTATGTTTCGTCTTTTTCAAATTTAAATTTGATATTGTTTTATCACGAGAGAAACGAGACGGGACGAGACAAGACGAAAGAAAGGATCTCTCAAGCGAGAGAATCGCCTACTCATCGAGACGAGAGAACCAGTTTTCTCTCGCCCTACGAGACGAGAACTCTCTCGTCTCGTCTTGTCTCGCGGCATCACTAACCGGGGCATATGTCCTGTTATTGTTTTAGACTGATTCCTATTCATTGAGAGTAGTTCTCCTGTTCTATAAATCTGTTTATACTTTGATTTTAGGTGCAGTAGCGAAACAAAAATGGAAAAATTTGAAAGACAATTATCGAAGAAAACTCCGAAGGCAATCGTGTTACATGATTAAATGGTCTTATTTCCCATTGATGGATTTTATAAAGGATTATATAGCTCCAGCTCAAAATAAAAAGTGTTTACCTGGAAACGTTGTTAAAGATGAGCCGGAAGATTTTATTGATGCAAACGAATTAATTGCTTCCTTTCCAAATGGTTATTTAGATAATTGTGCAGATAATTTTTCAGATGTACCCGTTGTAACTTCTTCAAATGATTCCACAAGGAATTATAAAAAACGACGTGTTGATGTAAATGAAGAGTATGTACAACTTGAAGAACCTGGGTTGAAACTGTTAGAGAAAGAATTGAGTAAAGAAAATGAAGAATCGTTTGATTTTTATTTTTTCAAGAGCTTACTTCCGTTTATGGAAAAATTATCTCCTCTAGAGAAGTTGGAAGTGCGAGGAGAAATACAGAATATAATTGTAAAAAAACTACAAACTGTGAATAGTCACTGAACAGTCAAATAAAATGTTGGTTTAATATTATATAGTCCTAGTCTTTTTCGTCTATTGGCTATTATTTTTAGCCTTTTCATAACTGTTATATCCTGATTTATAAGTCGGATTAGAGTCGTCGTGTATATGTTAAATTACTGAGCTCCCCTCTCCTACCTACCTATGGGCTTTCAGTTATGCACTCGTGCCAATGAGAACATTTTCTGACCGAAAACAGAAAAAGATTCGTTTGAGTCTTCTATCTGCGATTCCTATTAATTCTCAAAATGTTCGCTTTAATTTAAAAAAATTTTGACAGCTTTTATTTACCTACTTTTTATACATTAATTATATTCTGCGGTCCTTTTATCAGCAACATTTACTCATACGCGTATTTAAAAATCCCCTTTCAAGTAATACCTAGGTACATCTATGTCTTTCATGTACAATAGAAACGCACGCTGACGAATTAACACAAACTAATAATCTACAAAACCAACATTGAATCACATTACATATGCGACAGACTATAAACAAAGCTCGCCGATCTGGTAAAAATGCTTAAACACAACGTGTCTTGGCGTTAGATTTTAGAGTGCCGCGGGAAGGTGAGACGATGAGCGCGGGTGGTCCGAGTGGTGCACAGACCGTCCTGAAGCGACTCAGCTAAGATATGAAAATGAGCTTTTGTTAAATCTTCCATTGGTCTGTTGTGGACTTATTCTCAGCTATAAAATGAGAGCAAGATACGTTCACGCGCTATGGATATTATTTAATAATTAAAATAATCCATAAAATTTATTTTTTTAAATTTTTTGTAATTGCAGCAAGTGTTAAACAGTGACAAGCAGAAGATACTATTAATTATTTATTCTCAACGACTGATTGTTGTGTTTATTAAACTTTTTTGTGCTGATTTAGAATGGAAAATAAAGACTAAAACAACATTATTACTAGGTTGAAGTTTAACCAAATTCTATTTTTATAAGTCAACCTGTCCTTTGATATAAACGTTCAATAATAATGTATATTATTGATTTTAAAAACAAAAAGATTTATTTTTATTTAAAATCTTTTCACAACTGAAGACAATGAATTTTTCGAAAACAGTTTCATAATATTTAACATTATGCAACTGGTTGCGCAAAGTAGAACATTTTGACACGATTACAAAAAATGTAACACTGTAAGTCCATTTAGCCATTAGTTGCGAAAATAAAACGAATAAAAATAAACCTTCTTTGGTTTTAAAATAAATGTATAGCTACATTATTATTGAAAGTTTATATTGTGACGCCAACCACGACTTCCAAATCTCATAAATGAGAACAGAAGTGGTGTCAAAAATGGCGCCTGAGCAGGGACACCATAGTGGCCTAGTGCTAGGGATTTACACCCCTAGAATAGATTTTTTTCTTTTCCTTCGAATGTTTTTTCTTTTCTTTTTTCTGTGAAAACCTTTGTTTTTTGTCTCTCTGCTACTTCGCACCTCTCTGTTTTCCCTCGTTGTTTTTTAAAGTGATCCGTATGTCTGGAGTTTCTGAAGTCTCTCTAGGCTTACGTCCGATATACGTAGCGACAGACATGAAAATTCCTTCCTTGCCATGACACCCCCACAGCCCGCCGTTAGGTCCTTACCAATCTAAACGAACGAGTGGCCTAACGTTTGGAAACCATAATAATCCAGCTGCGTTTCTGGAACACCTGGACCAAATTTGTCTTTCCAAGCGGATTTAAAAAAAACCAACTACTACCGTGCATACCCGAACTGCTAACCGAAAAACCACTTGGGAGGCCGTCGAGGCCAATTTGCGAATTTTATTTTCTCGGTGTCCTATCATTTGGACCTTGAAGCCGAGATCAGCCGCAGACTGCAAAGTAAGAATGAATCTGTCACTTCCTACATGACCGATCTGCAGACTCTCAAGCGGAGACGTTGGTCTCTGACTAGTGAACAATAGTTAGGGTGGCTTTACCGCAACCTACTGCCCGAATATAGACGGATTTTAGTAATTTGTCTTATTATTGGCAAGCTGTGAATGAACGCAAGCTGTTGAGAAAAGAAATACAGACCGTTCCAAGCAGCTCCGGAACCAAGCCCCCTACACCCCGCTATCAGCCTCAAGAGCTCCCATGTAACCCAAGTACCAGTACCAGCTATCGTGGTCCCAAGAAACAGGAGCGATTTAAGCCAATCGAGACTAGTACTGTTATCCCACAACTGAACACCTTTCCCTCCCGAGCAGTGATATTTGAAATACAACCGTCGACGTCCCGGGGAACCCCGGGAACCGTGCTCTGCTGGAAGTGCGGAGAGAAGGGTCATTTGAGGAGTGAATGTCCCAATCCGGGGAACTCTTCTGTTCCCGTTGTTTGAAACCAAGGGTCTTATCAAAAGTCTGTCTTCGTGAACCGCAGGGAAACGTCACCAAAGCTGTCTGGAGGGGATGCCCCAGCAGTTTCCGCTGATACTAGCTTCCCGAGAGACCGTCCCACTTACCGAATATGACTCACGACCACATGTAGACCGCCTAGCTAACCAAAAACACAGAACTGACTTTTGCAAAGCTAGCTAATGGTAGTACCTTCCAAGTCCAGGATTGCTACTCTATGCCAATGAAACTTGGCAGCCGAACAACCGTTGAGGATATCAGACACTTTCTCAATCTAAGCGCTGCGTTAGTGCTTGAAATGGATATCCTAACCAATCTTGATGTTCTGTCTCTTGGTCTTCACTCAGCTCCGTCGACCTTCCAGAGGCTGATAGATCGTATCATTGAATCAGACATGGACCTATGCCTTCGAGGAGCATTTGACAAACCTCCAAATGGTATTCCGTCGCCTGAGAGCCGCCATATTGCAAATAAATCAAGAGAAATATCACCTCTGTCTCTAAAGTCTGAAATACTTAGGCCATGTTGTCACAGGTACTGGCATCCTTACCGATTCCTATAAAATCAAAGCTATCATTTGATTTGAAGCATCGATAAATATCCGTGAATCCAGGAGGTTCCTAGGGGTAGTTTCTTGATACCTTCGCTTTGTGCTTTCCTTTTCGCAAGTAGTGACACTACTCACCAAGCTTCTAAAGAAAACGAATCGTTGGAACTAGCAAGAGGAACAACAGGCATCGTTCGCGATGATATGGTCTGAGGCATCGATCACCGATCCTTAGTTGTCCCGATTTCTCTGTGCCGTTTATCCTTTAAACCAATACGTCTGCTCATAGGCTAGGAGTGGCTCTAACGCAGAAGAAGGGCGGTATCGACTATGCCAGCCAAAATTTGAGTCCTGTCGAAAGAAACTATTCATTGACTGAAAAAGAGTGTCTCGCCACGTCACCGTACTAACCGACCATCAGTCATGAGATGGTTACACTCAAGTCCGTGTGGCCGCCTTGCAAGGTGGAGTATTTTCCTGCACCAACATGATTTTAAAATCAAATATCGCCGAAGAGCTAAACCGTGTCGCCAACGCATTAACGCGAACCCCGTTGTCCGATACTAAGTTTTCCCACAATAACGAAGTGTGTGTTAACGAAAATGTCAAGTGTAAGTGGTATAAACGAAAGAAAGCCGATGTAGAGAGAAACCTCGCCGAACACCCTGATTACAGTATACGAGAGAACCGATTATATCGCCACTTTTGGGAACCCGAGCTGTTCGATCCATGGAAGCTGTGTGAACCGATTCCGCAACGTACTATGGTGCTGGAGGAGAATCACTATGCTCCCACTATAAAACTATAAAAAATGCGAAACAACGCAGGACCATAAAGAAGAAGGGGACTAACTTATTAGACTAAAAAAGGAACAAATCATAACAAATGGAGTTGTAAAAAAATTCCTGGAGAAAAATCCGAATCTAAGACTGTTAATAGAAAGTGGTGAATTGCAAAAAGTCAACATGGTATACAGCAAAACCGCTTCAACCATAATGAGAAGTGACTAGACCTTAAAAGATGAGAACTTCATATATATCATCATGACGGAAAACGGTGGAGAAACGCCGAAAGATAAAATGGCAATAATAAAAAACCTACGGGTGGTTATGACCACCGCCACGATCCAAGGAAGAAACATGCCCACTTGTTCGACAAATGGTAATGTAAACGATATAAGAATAAGAAAGCTGCTTGAATATACATGCCGGATGGATTCCCACACGAAAATTCGTATAAGCAGACATAGAACGTATAGCACAGCTAGGAACAACACGACATACAAAAGGACCAGAAATAAAGAGACCATAATTCTAAAACTCACGGAAGGGAAAACGTACGTAGACATCATTAAAAGCATAAAAAAGAAGTTGACACCAAAGGGGTCATCGTAGAAAAAATACAAAGAACGAGCAAAGGCGAAGTTCAAGTTACGATAAAGGGCAACGAGGAGAAAACAAGACAGCATTTCAAAGAACTTCTCAAAAACAAAATTAAGACTCTAGCAAAGGTAGGCATACGGCAGAAAAGGCGAACCGTAATGATCCTAGACATAGACGAAACAACGCAGGAAGATGACGTCAAGCAAGTCATAGATACAGAAATAAACAAGGACAACAGAGAAGTTGACATGCAAGTGAAACTGTCAGACAAGGCGAATGAAAGGGGGGTAAAGTATGCTTTCGTAACACTGGAGGAAGATACGGCCATCTTATTGGCTATGAAAAAAAAGGTAGGGAGTGGATGGAATAGTTGGAGAGTTAGAGAAATGGAAGCTCTTCCGAAGTGCTTTAGGTGCCACAGAATAGGACATATTGCAAATAAGTGCGACAAGAAAGACAGTAACGAATTCTACCACAACTGCGGGGAAAAGGGACATGTTACTTGTGCAACACAGACGGACACAAAACAGAAACGATGAAATGCCCAGAGTACAGAAGGCTGTTACAAGAGCAGAGGAAGGAAAAAAGGGACCGGATACCAAGCCAATTATGAAAGTCTTACAAACAAACATAGATAGAGAAAGGAAGGCGATGGACCTACTATACAAAACAGCTAAAGATGAAAAAGCCGATGTTATCATAGTCGCGGAACCAAACAAGAAAAAAGCT